TAATGCAAGGCTTTGTAAAAGAATCACAAAGAATATATCTGCAACTTATGTAGGTATTCAGCCCTCTTTATTCTGATGTACCTAAATTAAATCCAACAAAACCAATTGCTGTTAGTAGTCTCTTAGTTGGTGGATCTTTTTATGTAATTTAAACTCAGTGTAAATCGAGTATTTCTAAGGAGAGATTCAAGGAAGCAGCTGAAGGCTCAGAGTATCTCTGGAGGAGCTGCAGAGATCCACAGCTCAGTTGGGAAAATCTGTCAACAAGACAACTATGAGTTGTGCTCTCCACAAAGCTGGCATTTATATAAGATGATAAATCCTTTGGGTTTTGACAAAAAAATAATAATCAAAAAAATAAAATAATAATAATAATAATAATAATAATAATAATAATAATAATAATAATAATAATAATAATAATAATAATAATTGAGAGTTCTGCTTCTCACTTTGCCCCAAACATGTGGAAGGAAGAGAGTCTGGTCAGATAAGAATAAAACAGATTTTCTGAAACACCATGCCATGTGTTAAACATGGTTGTGGTGGCTTTGCGCTTTTCCTCAGCAAAGACAGGGAAGCGAGTCAGAGTTGATGGGAAGAAAGGTGGAGCTAAATATAGAGCAATCCTGGAAGAAAACCTGTTGGAGGAGGCAAAAGACTTCAGACTGAGGATGTTCACTTTCATCTGTACGAACATTCTTCCGCTTCATTGTTTTTCCCAACTCCGCATTTGCCTGTCACAGACACCCAGTCAAGACCTCTGACGTTTGTGGTTGCAAAGGGAAAAAGTTTAAGAGGCAGGAAGACTTATGCGAGGCTTCGCGCAAACGTACAATATAAGTTTGTTGCCACGTCGCAATTACCGCAGAAAAAAAACTCCACCATCGGTCTTGTCAACCATCAGCATCTGTGCATCCCATCATCCAGCAACAAGTTTCCCATCATGGAAAGCCTAATTGGGGCTTAATGTTGGGTGAATGTTTCCAGTGCACATGCAATATGCCAGCAGGGCCCAAACCCAATTAACTCCCCTGCATGCAGAATATAATTTAATGGGGCCTGGATTCAACTCTTTAAACCTAATTACACCTCAGACAGGCATCTCAAGTCGGTGTGGCGGGGTGGTCAGGGAAACACGCTCCCTTCCCAAAACGACATGCACCTAGAGCAGCGTCACAGCAGCGTTTCGGCTCATTTATCTCAGCGTAAAGTCAGAAACAAAGATATTACAGTAATCTATCTGTTTTACTGTAGAGGAGGGGTTTATTCCTGACAAATGCAACATGCAGATAACGCTGACATTTACCAGCTAATGTGAGAAAATGAAAGCGGGGATTAAGGTCAGACCGAACCCTGCAAGTGATAACAATTGTCTTAGTCAATCTGCAATTAAAAATCCCAGGACGCCTAACCAAGCGCGGCTGCACAGTCGCACTAAGTGGCTCATAATCGACACATTACAGCCTCTGATCTCTTATTACAGCGACAAATTGCATCCGAGGACGGGAGAGGAAACGAAGGCAGGATTTATGACGCTGGAGCCAGCAGCCAAAGACCGAGAGCACCTTAAATCTATCCCTGCGAGAAACGAAAAAACTGTTTGAGTTTGCGTTTGTGCACCTGAAGTTAACGGGGAGGAATAAAAGAGAGATTTATGATGATCGGCTAATTTTGTTCTCAGACGCTGCTGGCTGCGTTCACAGGCGGTCCACATTTTTCAGACGCCCGAGTTCAGGGCAGAGTTCTTCAGTTTTATGAAACTCAGTCGGATCCTTCTGAAACTCTAAGTTGGAGCTAAAAACAATTAAGATTAAAAAAAAAAAATCATCCGAGATTTCAAATAAACGCTGCATGTCTGCTCCTGCTGAGGAGCTGCATTAAATCTTAATAGTAGCCAGTTTGCTGCAGATGCCTGGGAGCAGAGACGGTGGCAGCACAAGACTCAGCAGGCCCCTTTTCCACACGAGCCTGGTGGGTGAGTGTATCGCCATGCTGTGCAGCACGTTGCTGAGTCCGAGAAGGGCATCTGAGTTCACAAGCACGACGACATGTTTCCCCACCATGTTTCATCATGACACAACCATGTAGTTTGCCCCATTTTTTTTGTCTTCGTCTCCCAATGCACATTTAAGTTAAATATAGGATATTTTTCTTGCAGTTCTATTTTTTCTTATTTATTTATTTATTTTTTATAGCTTACATTAGAAATGTAAGCAAAAACAAAGATGTATGGATTGCAAGCTGAGCGACTGCAGCAGACAAACGTGCTGCTGTTTTTCTTATACAGAGTGGTGTAGATTTCAACAGGAAATAAAAAGATTACAGGACTATCACATAAATTCACATGTCTCTAACCTTTTCATTTGAATTTAATTCAACTCAAATTTATAAATAAGCATGCTGATTTTTTATGAGCTTTCTAAACGTGGAAAAAGTGGGACTTCAATCATTCTGCATTTTTAGAAGAAATAAAAACTGATATTTCTGTGTCAAGAGAAAGATCCTGAATCGTTGCTCTGTCAGAATCATGTTTTCTACAATAAGATATTATCATCTGGATGCATTTTTAAGGAATTCAGGGGAAAAAAAATCAATTAAATTTACTTTGCATTATGAACATCTTCATGTTACATTAACATTCAGGGGACTGTTTCCAGTCTAGTTTGGTGCAAATGAAATCACTTGTGACCTTGGAGCTCCAGAGATCCCCCACAAATGTTTGTTCTGCAGGGACACAACAAATAACTGCCGGATATTTTTAGCACTTCTTATGAAAGCAAACAAAGACAAAAACCCCCCCCAAATACACTGAGTGTTTAGGTTCAATTTTGAGGGGCAGTTCCAGGCAAAGTGCTACAGCGGTCATGGGTGGCCAAAATAATTTGTGTGACCACGACCACAACTTAAGTATGTCACAAACTTGGCCAACCGGCACAGGTGTTTGCACTGAAATACAGCCAGTATTTTAGAAGAAGTGTCCCTTTCTGTCGTTGGACTGCAATTGTTTCTTAATCAACTGCAAGAACACACTTTTGTGTAATCTTCTGCAAAGCCTCTATCGCCTCTTAGGATTAAAAATAAAATCAGGTTTTGGTCGCAACTAAGCTGTGACACAACAGATAAAATCAGGATTGTAATTGATAGGCTGAGAGAGAGGTGGAGCAACATGAGGGTGCAAGTCCAGTGGATGTGGCATGGTTTAGAGTCAGGAGCAGCCAAAACCAACACGTTCTGTCTCCCACGTAAGCATGAAGGAATCGCCTCGCACGCAGTAGGGCAGGTCACTTGGCAACAAAAAAAGGAACAAAACTCAGTTAAGAACTTGTAAGAACTACAAATCATTTACAGTTAGTCAAATCTTCTCTGTGAGAGACAATCAAATCCAGAAAATTAGATTAACTCCAGTCATCCTTTTCTGGTGGGAGAACAATGCTAAAGCTACTTTAAAAAAAAATCTAAAAAGGAGCTAAATGCTTTGTGTGTATTCAGATGACTTATACTGTCCATCATGCTCCTCTGGGAGAACGGAACATGATGCAACATTCCTATATTACTCGAAGTTATTGGGCCTTTATGAGATTCATCAGACAAAGAACAAGAAACACACTTTATCCTCACTGAAAGAAACCTGTACCTTTATTAGATGTGATTTTCTATGCATTACATACAAGTTTAAAATCACATGACAGACCAGTGCCTGAGGACATGCAATGGCTCACCACAATGTTCAGGTAAGGCATATTAGCACATCTTCCTTCTGATATACAGAGACTACAAAGAGGCACTTGATAGTTTTATAAAACTGAATTGGAAACAGAAAATTACCCAAAATAACATTCTTAAAGGGGATGAAATGTAAAACTGAAGAAAAAAAAAAAAATCAAAACGGATCACTCATTTCACAATACACATTTCATATGTTTATAAAGACATTTTTTTGAAAAATATTGAAAAAAGAATAAAATGTTTGGGACTGAACAAAAAAAAAACTGCTTTTGACATGTGCAAAATATACTGATAATATTCTCTTTTTCATATAAATGAGGTTAACTACATAATGCATAATTATTGTACCAGCATTACAACCGTCCAATCACTATGAAAGTCAATACAATTTAACAGCAATTCGATCACTTCTGAAATGCATTACTTCTGTTTGTACAACATTTAAAACTCCTATGTTTCTGCTCATGTCTCTTGGCAAACATATGGTATTTATATATACTGGTACAAAAAAAAAAAAAAAAACTTGTGTTGAGTTAATGCTGCAGCTGCTGGGACCTTTTTTTGCTGCCCACTGCATGGTGCTGATTAGCTGAGGATCAATAAAAGTTTCCCAGCTGCAACAGACTCCAATAAAAAAGGTAAAAGATTGTTGCCCGTGGCTGTCCGAGCCTGAACGCTGTCAGACGGGGAGGAAAACCTTAGCACCGGGAATAAACAGTCTCAAATTAGAGCAGACGAGGAAGAGCTAAGATTAGACCGGCGCTCGGTCGGCAGCTTAAGATGTAGTGACGTGGCTGTGCATACAGCTGAGCAGCATCAGGGAAGCCCTGTTATGATCTGCAGGGCGTGGCTTATTAGTCTTATCTGACGCTCACACTCGCCTTGCTGTGGGGCTCCCCTTATTTCACCCTCTGCAGTGGAGGCAGTACAGATAATCGGGGGTTTTCCAGACCTGGCCAATCAGGTGTCTGATCGGAAAGGCTATTAATAGAGAATCTATGAGTGACATTTCTGAGGTACTGAAAGTGCTTTGTTGCTGAGTGTTTACAAGAATGCAGAGTCTAAAATTTTACATTAAAATATAAACGCAAAAGAACAGAGGATTGCCCATCACATTAAGAAAAAGCCAAAGACATTATTGAACAAGCTGTAAATCAGCGTAAACTTTCATACGTCTGTAATGATTATTTCGAGCAGAAGCGTTCAGACAACATAACACAAAAACAGGTGACAAAAAATCCGAAAAAAAAAAAAAAAAAAAAAAAAAAAGATATTTCAAAGTCTTCATTTCACCCTTTGTAGATCCTTTTATAGCATCCTTCAAATTGTCTAGTGTGCAAGGAGAAAACAGGAAGGACAAACAAGTCAAGGACATCGAGTGCTTAGTTGAAATCCCTGTCAGGGAAGATAAGAGGGGCGATGAGGGTCCAGAGGTAGAGCCCGAGGCCCAGCCAGCTAGAGCACATCTTCACCCACACAGCTGGCATTGTGCTCTGCATGGCTTGTGTGGTGGTGTCTGGTCTGACAGGGCACACACAAGGAGACAAACAAGTTAAAAATCAACTCAGAATGTTACACGTGTATCTGAACATTTTTTCAGGAAAAGGTCCAGGGCTGGGTGAAAGTCTTTAAATGAATAAAAATATTCAATCTGACATTTGTGTTGCTGTAAGGCGCCATCTGGTGGTTCTACGCAGAATGGAGAAAAACTGAAGGCTAAACTGAATGAGTACAAAATATTTAGGTTTAAAATTTCAACCCAATCCATAAATATCCATCCAGCGGAATATAGAAAAACGATAGCTAACTGCGACATTTTCGCATCTTTGCTTCACTTGACTGCATCGCATTCGACCACCTGCTTTCATCTCCTAACGACACTTACTGGTACCAGTTGGTCAGCGTCATCATGATGTAGAGCGAGGCCAGGCAGAGGTGGAAGTGGAAAAAGGAGTAGCTATAAGTGACGTTCTCCTCCTCGTTGTCGACAGCCCTGTGCACGCCGTCCTTCCCCACGACTCCCTCGCCACCGGAACCTGTGCCCTCCTCTGTCTGCATCAGCTTGTTCACCTGAGCGTTGGTGGATGAGCGGATACTGAAGGGCACAAAAGAGGATGAAACCGGTAAAGTAAAATGTTTTTTTTTGTTTTTCTTTTAAGACATGAAAGGCATATAAACCATCTGATCATTAAATGATCAGTTTGAGGCTGGCTGCCATCTAAAGCTGAGTAATATGGTATAATGTGTATAAAGTATCTATGCACCTCGAACATATTAATATTTGCCCAACTCCAGTGTATTTTAATGGGATTATTTTGTGATGGACCCACTTTATCAGCCCCTTGATCCCTGACCTGACTGCTGAATTCCTTGGTCTTCATGATACTGATTAGCCATCAATCTTCTGTACAAAACCTCTGAGCTCTTCACAGATCAGATGGATTTATACTGAGCTTAAATTACACAAAGGGAGACAATACACAGACTGGAGTTTGTTTTTTGTGATGTCACTGCAAACTGGGCTCAATAGAACTGCATGCTAAAAAAAAAAAAAGCATGTTGAAAACCTTGTCTAAATGTCCTTTCACTTCACAATAACGCACCACTGTGTTTAAAATGTCCAAAAACGCAAGGTGAAGTACCTTAGTCCTTTCATCACAAATCACATGAACAATGATGACATATCAGACCTGTTGTAAGGTTTATGACCCAACAAGCATCACTGCACGCAAGTTTCACTTCTGCTAAATTAAAGCAGCCGTGCTTTAAAGCAGATTGGACACTAATCTATACTGCCCACTTGTGGCCATCAGACAAAACAATGTGGCTTGAAGTTGCAAACTGCATACTGATCCATTGAGCATCCTTCCCTGATGAAGGAGGATTGCAAGCAAGATGTCCGTTATTCACACGTTTTCACATTTAAAGAAAGAAACTTCACAAAAATATGTATGTTACTTTAAAGAAGCTTTAAGTTAATGTTGGAGCAGAGCTGTAATGAGCGTCGTAGTATGTTGTGTGCATTTATGGCCTTCGGACTCCCAATGAAGTTTGATCATGGCAAACAAATTAAAATGAGGTCCTGTCATGTCTACCTGGCGTAGAGAGTACAGAAGAGGAAGATGACCAAACCAACGATGCCCTGAGCGTCCCACCACTGCACGTGTCCTGAGCCTGGGCTGGCAGTTGGTTGGGTGGCGGTGGTGTTGGCGTGCGAGACGAGACTCAATAAGCTTGGGTTACATTTCCGATCTAGAGAATATTAACGTACGCAACTGTTAGAAATCCACCACACTTCATAAAAGCTCCCAAAAACTTTCAAGGAACTCAAAGTAAAGCTGTGGTGCATGATATGGACTGTCTGCTGCACAAATACATCCACATTTTTCTAAATTATCCTAATCTCCTGCACATTTTTACAAATCATTTTTCTAAATTTAAGCATGGTATTTTTAACACCTGCAGTAATTTTGTTTTATTATGCAGTAAGATTTCCTTTACATTCTCTTAACAATCTCTTTTCTCACTTTGCTTTATAGTTTTACTTATGAGTAAATTTACATTCTTCAACTTGCCTGTCACTTTGGTACTCCTGACTTTCCTCACTGATGGACAATAGATGATACGTTGATACTATTCTACTCTTCTATTAATTTGCCACTTTACTCCACAGACATTTTTTTAACTAAAATTAAAGTTTGATTATTATTAATTATTATTATTATTATTATTATTTTCAGTGGGAAATCCTGCAATAGGTGTAGAAAGAATGCAGAAAACTAAGTTCATCACAAGACTCTCCATTCTTGTTTTTCCACTGAAACTACAGATCACGCACAAAAAACCACTAAAATTAGCTACAACTGTTCAGTGGTCAGGCATTATGCTACATTTAGAACTCACCATCGTAATTGAAAAGCTGCAGCACGTTAACAAGCACATGTAGGAAACAATGATCGTTAACATGACTTATTAAAAAAGAAAGAGGAGGGATTGAGACTTTGGTTAGCACTCACTTGGATTGTTGGTCATGGCTGACCAAGTGACATACATGGTGTAAAGAGAAATGAGGGACGCCTGGAGGAGACCAGAATGTGGCTGAGCTTCCTGTAATAAACAGGACAAAAACACAAACATTAAAAGTGGGCAAAGTATTCAAAGTGGTTAGCATTAGCAATTCACTGCTTTGATATGGAGGATTTTACGGAAAGAGTTGTTTATTTTGGAAAAAAAATAAAATAAAATAAAATCTACTGGCCAAACTGGAAACACGAGTTTCCTGAAAACAAAGCATCTAAAAACACCAGGTGGACGATTAACAGATCTCTCCTACAATCCAAGACTCAATGAAAAACTTCACCTGTATCTTTGGTAAGATGGACACAACAGAAATGATGAGGCAGAAGATGAGGTTGAGGCTGATGAAGACTTTGTTTTCAGTGCAGTCGTCTGGCTGCGTGTAGTAAATGTAGAAAAGCACCACAGCAGAGAAAGCCAGCGCATAGTGGAGGACGGTGAAGGACAAGAGACCTGAAAAGAAGAGAAACAAGGTGAGGCACAAACAAGTCTAATTTGGGAGTGTGTAGACGCAGTGGCTCTCAACAGTCTACACACCACTTTAGTGAAGTAAATAAATAAATATATAAAATTGGACTGACAAATCAAATCTAAATCTTGTCCACATGTGAGACCTACATCCTACACAGCTAAAATGTACAAGATCAATGTTCAATTTTATTTGGGAAAAGTTGAGAAATATTTATCATGGTATCATTTTTTTTTTTTTTTTAATTTTAAACACCTTGGGGGTAATTTTAAAAACCACAGAGAAATCAGGCTGCATAGCAGAAGATACAATTCAAATTGTCATATTTATTTATTTATAATGCGAGAAGCTTTCAGTCTTTCCAACAACTCTTCTTGTTGGGTTAGTCTTAGTCAATATTTGTTTCCATCATTATTGTTTGCACAGTCTACATGTCAGAAGCCACAACAGAGACGATGAACCTTCCTACTACAACTTTTGTACGCACATTAGAATGTTCATCTATTGTGCTTAGATGTTTTAGACATTTGGTATGACTCCTGCAGGAACCTTGTGGTCAGGATGACCATTTACCTTTTATATGTACCAATCATTACTAATAAGGGACTCCAGAGAACCTGGTAGGGCCGTCAGCTTTTCTTGCATCTCCTCACCTCCACAGGTTAGAGGTCACCTTTTGTATTATTGATTAATGTGGTTGAACGCTACAGCATGTTCACATACATCCTCCTCTGCTGATTTCTATAACTTTTACACTGCATACTGGAAATTTTGATTTTAGCCCCAGTTTTCGTTTAAAAATATTTATGTTTCACAACTTTAAATACAAGGTGTAGAGTCGACTATAACAACTTTAAACTTTGTTTTTTTGTTTTCCAAAAACTTCACCTGCAAACCAGCATTTGTTCTGGGTTTCCTCAGCATTTTCAACCCAGATCTTATTCCATGAGTGAGCGAAGTCAATCAGGAGAATGAGCTGGATCAAAATGAAGATGAAGGATCCTACTAATCCAAAGTAAAACCACACTGTGAAAGACAAAGGAAAATGACTTGTAAGTTTACTATTCAGGTTTTAAACCTTAACCTACGTGTTCGGAAATATGATCAACGGGAAATATAGAAATTAGTCCTCACCAGAATTAAATGCTCCATCTGGGATAAAAAACGCTCCCACTGTGATCCCAACTAGTATCAGAAATTTGAAGAACCAGAATCTGAAGAAGAAAAAATTTAATTTACAACTGCATGATGAGGACGACAAAAAGTACTGCAGCTCTGACCGGATGTGTCCAGTAAAAAGCTAACAGGGCTCTTACCCATTTTGAATCACTGCTCTTGGGTCTTTGCTGTTCCGGACGCGAATCATTATGGCCGAGAACAGAAAGAAGAAGCAGGCCATGGCGAAGCACATGCGATACACAGACTTGTACCCCACAATAACGTCACACTTGACCTGGTTTTCGATACCGAGTATGGTCGTTCCTCCCTGGCAAAATCCTGGAATCTACAGAAGGAAAATTAAACACATGAAGTAAAATCTCTCATAGATACATAAACTGCCTCTCTCAGTACACAGATCTTTAAATTTAGGAACATCAACACAAATACAACACCTGGAAGTGCAAAAGTATTCATACCCTTTGACATTTTTTAAACTTGGCAGCCACAAACTTCAATGATTTTTTTTTTACCAGGATATTATATGACAGACTAACACTAAAGAACAGATAACTGTGCAACACGCATAAAAACGCCTTTACTGATATCCTAAAACAAAATTCACTATCTATTATCTATACAGCATGAGATGTAGATTTGTACGATTTGACACATGATGCATTTTATGAAAGTGTGTAATCCCCATCATTATATTCTTTTTCTTCTCATTACAACAAGTTAGCTGTGGGAGCTCACTTTGCGGAGTTGTGTTTCCATTCCAGGTAGGATCATGATGACAGACACCATAGTTCCCAGAAGCAAAAAGAAAGAGAAAACCAGCCGTGTCACTGTGGAGTTATTGGAGGATGGACAGCAGCCACACACAAGACATGGTGCCGAGCCACACAGACATGAGGCCTGGAGATAAATGGAGACAAGGTAAAACACCAAGAGGGTTTAAATATCAATAAAAAAAAATGAATAAAACCAGGACAACAGCAACTTCCTTAATGCAGGTCAAGGTCAAGAAGATATCATAAACCTGTTGTGTTCTATTGGAAATACTGACCTAGTAAATAATTAAACAAGATCGTCATTTACCAGTACATCACAAGTGCAAACTCACACCGACGTAATAAAACACAGCGAATATTTCTGTAAATTTAGGCCAACAAAACACGATAGCACTAGCTTCTTGGCTTTTTGTCACATACTTAATCCTGTTAAAATAAGGCTTTCACAATTTCAACCATCCACTTATCCAACTTATTAAAAACTGACTAAGCTAAGGCCACTAGCTGCTGTTCATTGAAGAGAAATAAATTAGCATACAGCTGGACGCGTTACACTGTAACATTAAATGTCAGGTTACGTGTACGTACAGGTAAATATGTTGAACTGTTTTCGCTCAGTTCGGACCCTTATTCAGTCATACTGACGAGTAGCCTCTCAAACAAAATCTGCCTGAATGTTTCAGAGCAGTAAAGTATGGCTAACATACGATTTAACTTACTAATTAATTATTATATGTGGAAGACTAATGTTAGCCTTAGCTGTCAGGTAGATAGGTCATGTTAGCGCAAATCCATTTTGACCAAACTTGTACAAAAAGCTTGGTGTTTAAAATGTGAGATAACGCTTTATCATAAACAGAAACTCACACAGCTGGCCAAGGAGCACAAAGCCATACAGGCCCCCATTTCCTCACGTTAAAGAGTCGAAATGTTTCGGGTTGTGCCTTCTTCCTCTGAACTGCCTGGACAAAACCACAAACTAACCGGAAGTAACTTGTTGTTTTTCAAAATAAAAGTGCTGACAGGTTACAAGTCAAACGTCCAACACTACAGTGTCCAAGGTTTCCGCCATAAGGGCCAAAATCGTCAAGATAAAAGTACTGCAAGGCCGCAAAATGTATTTGTTTATTTTTTTAAATTTATAAATACATTTCTTGCAACTTTTTGTTTAATCAGCTCAATAAAATAAAACAAAATAAAATAAAATAAAACAAAACATGTTTAAGTATATTAAACATGATTCTCACACAGCCCACATTTAAAATTATTTTCAATTGGCCTGATTGGTCTGCAAGATTTTTTTTTCAGTGTACAAGAGGGCTCTGTAAATCTTTGTAGATCCAAAGCATCTCTATCAAGTGTTGCTAAAAGATGGGCATAGTACTTCCAAATTGAAAAATGTCGTGAGGTTTTTGTGAAATATGTGAAGTTTTATATTGTTTTGTTTTGAATAAAAATGCACCACAACTCTGTAATATAAACAGAAACTTTCTGTAAGAAGGAAAGAAATAAAAAATACATCCAAACGATTTGGACTATTTCTGAGTTATTATCACGGGGTAATACGTTTTGCACAGACACAAACATGCAGTGAATAAATCAATTTTCAATCAGTTTTTTGCACCAAAGAGTTAAAAACAAACACGTTTTCACAAGGCTGTTTAAATGTGTTTGGAAATTTTTTAAATTGCCATTTGTGACTGTATACAAAATAGACCAGCAAATACTGCAGTAAGCATATTGGGCTCTGTACTATGTTTACAGCCGATGTGCATGTCTTTTTCTGCTGAAGTAAGACCAAGAAGAGCACTTTCAGTGTCCTTATGTCCACAGACAGACAGTGAACACAGCAAGTCTGAAACCTGCCATCTGTCCTTCCCTCTAAACGTCCCAGGAGCTCAGAGTCTGTTGCTCAGTGGTGCTAACAAAGACAAGTCTGTCAGGTACTGGCACAACCCCCCTGAGAATTATAACAATTGAGCTGACAGGCTTTGGTTATTCTCTAGATGTTTTTTGGGGAGATTCAGAGGGTATCCTCTTTGTCCAGGTTAGAGATGGAGGGGCACTGGCTGTTAATAGGGAAGAGGAGGGGTACACCTTGTCAGTCCCTCAAAGGGCCAACAGAGAGAAAAACATGAACACAAAGAATATGTAAATTCAACAGAAAGGTCTACAGCCCGAGGTGGTAGTGAATCCGAACTGTCATTGCAAAATACAATGTACAAACAATGGCAATGGTTGTTGTGCACAACCACCCAGTATCAGTGCCTGTGCTTTTGCACTCTTGACTGCAAGTCCTCTGTAATCACCTCTTCCCTTTGACAGTGGCAGATACACTTGGCTGGCTGCAGCTGACATTGCTTGTAGTTTGTGGAATGCGGCATTCAAGATTCCAGCTTAGTTAATCACTCCTGCACTCTGATTAACTATTTCAGGGATATTCCTATTTTTTCCCCCTTTCCTGTAACAAAGGACATATATAGTGCAAAAAAGTTTCTTTTTTTTAGCCTCTTAAGGTTTGTTGTTGGGATTAGGAATTGTGACTTTGATCTTTTTTTTTTCTCCTAACTTTGCTGAGAAGGAAGGATGTGGTCAGGTAGATTTTCCAATAAATTAACCTGTTCTTGGTCGAAAGAGTCTGGATCACATGTTCTACAGGAAACCAGAATATTTATAACCCTGTTAAGATGGGTGGTAAAACATCCAGACAGAATTACACTACACAATGTGACACATTATTCCACACGACTACAATCTCTATGCCCACTTATGTGTGCATTGTCATGAGGGGGCTAGTGCACACCTCCAGCAGTTATTGGTAGGAGGCAAAATACAAACTACACAGGTTGTAAGTCCATCACAGTGAAACAGAAACACACAAGACAAAAACCATGTTTGCACTCACTCAGAACTAAGGCAATTTAGCCAGAACAACTGATCAACGTTTGGACTGCAGGAGGAAGCTAGAGTACCTGAAAACAACACACACACCAGTGTGTGAAATTCATGCAGAAAGATTCCCGGGCTGCAATTTGAACTCAGGACTCTCCTTGTTGCAAAACCACAGCATTTATTGTGCAACTGTGCAGTCCATATAAACTTATATCAGCAAATTATAATTATTTTTTAATATCATGGAATATATTTCTATTTTGCTACTTATATTACAATTAATTCACTATGGCCCACAGTCTAAGATATAAACAATTAAAACTTACCTTACTTTGATTAAGGGCATAATTTCTTTTACAATTTTGTGACTGGCTGTTGCTGTGCATGTGTAAACATAAACCAGAATGACAGCGTGCCAAACAAAAATGAAGGTGCATCAAATAAGCTTTGTTAATGTTACATAAATAAACCATGGCTCTGATTGAGGAAAAGATTGCTACCGCTTTTTAAACAGAACTAATCAGTACTCTTCTGTTAGTGGAATTCTAACGGACTCTCTATTTACTATTGAATGTTGGAGAGTTGTGTTTAACTTTTAGAAAAACATTTGAGCCATTTTTTTTCTCTCTCTTCAGGATGCCTGGCCTTCTTCGCCTTCCTGCTGGCGCGCTCGCCTTTGCAACAGCCGCGGTGATTGGCTAATTTGGACCAATGAGACACCCCTGTCTATTCTGACGTTGACAACACAGAGGTTTGTGCGCGAAGGTGCAGATGTTGGCGGTTTGAATAGAGGCACAAAGGTAGCAAAAGGTCCGCTCTTCAAGCCAAGCTGCACTTGACGGTGAGAACAATTGCTCTCATTGAGTTGTTTTCTCTGAGTCTATGAGCGCCCAGGAAAGCTTTGGCTGCGATAAAGGTCGTTGTTGACTGTTTATTCAGTGTTTAGGGCTTTGAACAGAGTAGGTAAAGTCACTTTTTGGTACTAAGTAACTGTTATGGCCGTTGTTCACCAGCAGCCTTTCAGGATATGACAAAAAGTACTTTGAAAATTGCTTAAAACATTTTTTTGTTATGTGATTGATTGTTAGTATCTAACCACATGCAGTAGGCAAATGAGCTAATTGACAAAAACGTTTTTGTTACTCTGTTATGTAAGCTCGAAATATGTAATTACACATGTAATTACACAATTTTATTCAAATAATTGATTTTTTTGTTGCCATATAAATGATCCTATTTTCAGTCTCAAATCTATATATTTTAGGTATTGCAAATGCTGCCTCCAGCTTTTTAATTTTTTTTTTTTTTAAGTAAACACAACAAAAACTAGTGCAGCAGTTGTGTTGCCCCTCCCCGCCATTTTTGCACAAATGAGTGTGCAGCCTCCAGCTGTGGGTACTCAGCTTTTAACCTGCCTTTCTCTGCGGGGCAACTACACGCAAACATTTAGCTACAGGCTGTGGTATTAGAGAGGCAGAGAACATGTTTTGACTGGTGTTTAATGTTATGCAGCGACTGTAAGGTGTGACACAATATGCATAAACAAATTTTAGTAGTCTGTCCAAATATGTGTGTATGTGTAAGGAATGTGCATGCAACTTTTCAAATTTGCATCTCCAAAGTATTTGTCCCAATAGACGCTATTAACTAAATATTTATTTTAGTTGAATATTTCATCATCATTCACCTACAAAGTTCCCCGACACAAATTATTAACATTAGTACTTTAGTTGTCTGATGATTTGCTTGTGATCACCTAAGTATTCTTAAGCTGATAGTGATCAAGGGTCTCACTATCAGCAGTTAACCTGGTCACTTAGTATAACATTTAAAACAAAACCAGGGGATTGCAATACTCCCAGATGTAATTTTGGATTTCATAATTAAATGACAAAAAATAACTTATGTAATAATAAATAAATAACACCAAGAATTCTTTTGAGTACTTCTAAAAGTAACCTAGGCATTACAAGTGCTGCACTGAGCTTAGAACAGTTGCAGATATAAGTCCAAAGTTAGAAAGGGTTGCATGCCTTGCAGTAAGATAAGAGCTTTCTGATTAAGATGCAGCTTTATTTCAAGTGAAATGAGTATTGTCCCAAATGCTTAGCTCCAAATGAATTGTAAGATTTTAACTTTCAGTTTATTTTTGTCTTCTGCAGGAGATTAAAAGACAATCTTTCCGTAAAATGGCAAATTGTGATGGTAAGTGTAATCGACTGGAATGCACTTGTTAGTGGCATTTTTTTTTTAAGACCGGCATTTTCTAAAACTTTTCTGTTTCCTTCGGTTTGGATGTCAGATCCGAATTTGGAAAACGAAGCAAACTAGTTCACAGATTGACTGAAAAAAAGTTTTGATAATAACATCATTTTAGAAAGTAAAACAAAATTTGAAATTGAAGTTTGCGATTGAAAAAGATAGGTTATAATTTGAGTATTTAATGAGATTCTTGTCTTTACAGACATTCAAGTGAAGGAGCTGAACAAGCGTGCGTCGGGTCAGGCGTTTGAGGTCATCCTGAGGCCTTCGACCCCTGATGCCAAAGTGGATTTCCCGCTGTCGCCCAACAGGAAAAGGGAAACGTCCCTTGACGAAATTAAGAAGAAATTGGAAGCTGCAGAGGGAAGACGCAGGGTATCGTAAAGCACAAATGGCTAATAGTGCATCAAATAAACTTGGCTATTACACTGTGTTGACTTATGAGGAAGGACTTCTCTTGTCTTTCTGTTAGAGCCATGAAGCCGAAGTTCTGAAACAATTGGCTGAGAAACGAGAGCACGAGAAGGAGGTCATCCAGAAGGCCATCGAGGAAAGCTGCAACTTCAGCAAGCAGGCGCAGGAGAAACTCACTCAGAAGATGGAGGCGAACAAAGAGAACCGCTCCGCCCGGATGGCAGCTCTCAACGAGAAATTCAAGGAGAAGGTCAGATCCTGACCCTGCATCTGCTTTCTTCACATCTGTAATTCTGTGTAAAACTTGCAAACTAACGTGATTGTTGTTGTTTTGAAATGTTTAACAGGACAAGAAGCTTCAGGAGGTGAGGAAGAACAAGGAGGCCATAAAAGAAACCGAGAACTAACCTGTTTCTGCTCTTAGGAGAGATATAAGCTATCTGTCTGACAACCTCTTAAGATCTTAATGATGCTGGTTGTAATTATGCTTTAGACTTCTCTGGTTAGTTTTATATGTTGTCTGACTTTTCTTTTTTTTCTTTTCTGGAGTTCTGTTTGGCAGCTGACAATACTGTATTTTTTTTTATAAAAGCAACGGCTTGTAATAAGTTAGTTGTTATATTTACCAATGTCAAAAAACAAAACAAAAAAAAAACTTAACACTCTTCCAGACTGTTGATAATGCTGTATGTCTGAACTGACTGTACGATACAAGGGTTCAACTAACCAGATTCAATTCCAGTATTTTGGTTTGTGCAGGACTGTTGTTGTCTTTGACCTCACAAATTTTGGATGAAATTTTATTTTTGTATTTTCTACCTTTCTTGGAACAGCAGACTATGGTGTAACATCTTCATGAAAGCTGAAAACTGTTACTTAACTGTTAATAAAGACTTTGACAATACTGACACCGTGTGGCCGCCATACGTTATTAAAGCTAAATTAATTTGTCTCCAAAATAGGGAGAGAAAAAACGTTTTGTAAGGAATGATTTTGTTGTATTTTTAAAATAATTAGAACTAAATAATTTTGTTATTCTTTCACAATTAATTTTGACTTGATAGTCAGACTTAATATGTGTGTAAAAGCACATTTGCATCAATGAAAAAAAGCTATATCATAAAAATCGTCGTAAACAAGATTTTAACACACACCGATATTCCAAACAGAGTTATATGTAAACAGTGAAGTGTTTTAGCAATTACTGGTGAGTTGCATCCTATCATGATCATGAATTTTAACTTTCGCACAGATTTCCACCACTTCATAAAAAACTGACCGGACGTACTGAGAATTTATTTAAGTTGGACAAATCAAACTGGAAAAATAAAGTGGTTGGATTTTTCAGCACCTGATGACTGAAGCAAACTTCAGTCAAGCTAAGCTAAACTCCAGGCTAACTGTTTAAGTGCTTCTGGCAGATTATTAGTTTAATATGTCAGTCGCAGTGTTTTTACTGAACTGTGTGGTTACTTGAATGTGTCTTACTCTGAAAAAGTTCTATGATCTTAGTGAAACAAAGGTGTTTACACCATGTATTACTGGTGAAAACATAGAGGTAAAACCTGAATGGCACGTTCTGTGGGAAAATATAGGAGCTTGGGAAGGTAAGGAGGAGTCTAGCCTGAGTTTTATAGGTTTGTTTACAACTATTTAGCACAGGCTTGCAGATAGAAACACGCCTGTAACCCAAATTGGATTGCTTCCATGAGATTCCATCTGTTGCATAATTTTGCTACATTTGATAAAAGCTGTTTCAGTTTATTTACATCTTCAGCATTTTACTTTTTCTTCTTGTCAGCATTTTGATGTGTAATGTGTTCAGTACAACATCCTACACATTTATTTCTACTCCTGACAATTTTTTTTTTAAATATTCTGATATTTCAAATCAATTTCTCTCTTCGAGTACTTGTTTACTTAGACCACATGATGACAGCTCTGCAGAGATGAAGCGAAAAATAGAACTTCAAAACCTGCATCACTGTTGCTTATCCGCTACGATGTTTACTATTGCCAACTGATCAGTTCGACATCTGTGCCTCTTATGATGACATCAACACAAATGTATACTTAAAAACAAAAAAGGCAAAGTCCTGCTGCTTCAGACCATGTTTAATTTCACACAGTTATTTAAGAGTTTGACAGCATATGTGTTCACATGGTGTGTTTGCAGAAGTGGGTTAGTTTCGCTGTGTTACTTCAACAGCCTTCACGCTACAATGTGTTCAAAGAAACTGTCATCATCAAACCAGAGCAACGCCTCATGAGGTGACAAAACTTGTTTGCAGCCCATATTCCCCAAAGTTAGATCATCCGGTGGACAGGCACCAGAAAGAACATGTGTTCCCTGTTCACACTGGACACCAAGTGTGTAAGAAATATACACTGTGGAGGATTATTTAAATCCAGAAACAATAGGGATTTGTCAGTGAGAGGGACAGCAACAAAGGAAGCGTTGTTACTCAATGCAAAACAAGGAAGATCACAGACCATAAAAGTGATTTCACCACAGCAACCAAGGAGAGAAATTGCTTGTTTTGCTTACTTAATGATATTCACTAGGATGTGAAGTGACTGTACGCCTTTTCAAAGCATTTCCACACCTGGAACCAAAGGATGTCGTGTTACATCCTCAAACCTCAATACATTTTATACATTGAGGTTATACATTAATGATATAATAAATTAAAAATTTTATATATATATATATATATATATATATATATATATATATATATATATATATATATATATATATATATTATATATATATAATTATAATATAATTATATATATATATATATATATATAAGGCTAAATGGACACCACGATAGATAGATAGATAGATAGATAGATAGATAGATAGATAGATAGATAGATAGATAGATAGATAGATAGATAGATAGATAGTGACTTTAAGCATGTATTATCAAGAGAGAGAGACAACGGTTGCATCTCGCTTTCGCACAGCTGAATGAGTTGACTTGAATTAGTGAAAGTGGTGTCCATTTAACCTTTGTTGTTGTGGGTGTTGGTTTCCAAGCAACAGTGAAAAAGAGACCAAAAAGAGACCAATCGCTGCAGGTGAGACGTCTGCACGTGGAAACAGAAACAATGGCATGTGTAAAGTTCAGGGTTATGTAAAAACCTTGATGGTGATGCCAGTATAGGAAAACGATCATCTACACATACAGAGCGGTAAGGAACAAGAATCTAATTTTATATTTCTAGATGACTGTTAAGCTGCATATAATATCTACAAACGTCTTAAAATGTGAAAGATTAAACGACCAACAGTAAACAGATCAGCTGATCAAGATGCATACACTGACAGCTCAGTCCTCCCGGCACCCATTATGTGACAGAAATGCTGTGTGTCAGTGGAAGAATTTGTGTTATCAGTGCGTTGTCCCACACAGCCAAACGGAAGGCGTGATTGGTTGACATGGTGATTTCTAATGCCAGAAAGAGCAGCAGCGTACATTGCTGATTGGTCAGAGAAGCTATCCGTCAGAGCGCGTTGGTTTCCTCCTCAGCAGCCGAGCTGCAGCCGCTGCTGCTGTAGTGACGGTTATCTCCTGCCAGTCCGGCCCATCAAATAATGATATCCATGCTCTGCACGGCTCTAATTGTTTCATCGACGGGTATATCTGACACCTCGTACTGACTCTGCCCCGGACAGGTAGGTGCTTTCTGTACGCGCTCAGCTGATCTGTGAAAATGAAAGGCATCTCGCTGCTGTAATATAGATGGCACGCCGTAAGAGAAGCGCCTCGAAGGCAGATCCCGGGCAGTTTTTTTTTTTTTTTTTTCGCCTTTCAGCGGATATCTTGGCTTTTATTAAGCTCAGTGAAGGTTTCATGCGATTGGAGATAACAGCAAGCGGAAGGTTCATTTTAGATACAGTTGCGGGTTTATTTTCAATTTCTCTAAATTAGAAAACCGCCCCGCCGATCAGGTGCATATGAGCCTAATGCAGTTCCCAGCAGCAACAGGCCCGTTTAGGCCCGGTTTTAATTCGCACACCGAGCCACACAAACCCGTCTTATTTTCATTAGTCGACTTTGATTTTCGTCTTCGCCTATAAATATTTTAAAGGATGTCGGAGCTCACTGGACGCCGAAGGGCGTGGACCTGGGATGGAGCTATGTTACGTAATCCTCCATTCATCTCTCACGCCTCTCCTCCTCATCCTCAGCACATGTTCATCCCACAGTGTCTGATCTGCCTCAGCTCCCTGCCCTCCCCACAGCGCAGGGAAGGGAAGTAAAGAAGCTCATATATCTGATCCAGGGATGATCGCACTGATTACATGTGTTTCTAATATACAGATAGCATAGAATAAAGATATTTAGCGGTGGAAAAAAAAAGCTAAACATCAAATAGGAACACTAAGAGTCTATGTAGATGCTTTCTACGGAGCCCCTAAGGGGACATGGAGAAAAAAAAAAAA